GCTCTGAACAGTTAATCTGTCCGCAAGCTGCAGTAGACTCATCAAACGAGGACCCCATAGGTCCCTCCGTCTCGGCGTTTAGCGAGACCGCCATGTTCATGTGAAAACAGATTAGAATAACAACACGTATACAATAGGAAAACGACCGCAATAAAAAGGCAAAAACAGGGTGTAAAACGGGATTAAAACTGGGAACAACCGGAAAAATTACCAGTAAGCGTCAAAGACGCTTCGGCCAGTACCAATTTAATCGATCCAAGATTTCTTGGATCAGAGGAAATTTGACAATAGTCAAATTTCGTTTCAAGTGTTTATTCAAACACTGTTTTCCACGTTATTTCAGCTGAAAAAGTCGATCAGTATGGCACGCCAAAAAATCGAGTTACCGCGTAGTACTCACAGAGTAGTGATAAGTAGTGCGTGTTGTGATCTTCGCCTTCGCACAACCTTCAGACGGTTTGCCAAGTAACGACACTTGGCTTGTTTCCGGTGCCGAGACAACTTCTTGTTTAGCAGAGATCTTACGAGGTTTCCTGGCTCTTCTTCGCTTAACTCGAAGTGACCCTTGAACCAGCAATTCGGCGTCGATCAGCGTATGTGTAGATACGACGTCCGAAGCTGCTTCTGTAGCGATTGTAAATAATTTGCTTATTTTGCATTTTCACGTTTACCTATTTCGCTGCAGTTGTTGTACAGCTTTGTTTTAATTAACTTTTTATACACACACTTGGTTACGCGCTCGCCTTCCGTGGTTCTCCCTTGGTTGCCGCTGGATTGTTGTGATTGTGCGCATCGCTGCCTGCTTGGTTCACGATCGGACTCTACGTACACGTACATTTCGGCATACCTCGGGATTTACGGCCGTCCGACGCTAAGGTGCATCAGGATACTTTATATGTGAGGTAAACCTGACTGACTGGGTATTCTCCTTTATCGGTTCCTCCATATAATTGGTGACCCCGCATTTTTTATTCAACATTTTGTGTATATTTTCCTTTTTTTCTACACAATGTCTGATCACGCGCCTGCCATTAATGCGTCGGAACATTCTCTTGGACTCGTTTTGCCTTCATTTGACGTTTCTAACCCACGTGTTTGGTTTGTTCAAGTGGAAGCTGTTTTCCGTTTTCGTAAGATTACATCCCAGTCCACTATGTTTTCATATGTGACTGCTCACTTACCGTCCAACATCGCCTCTGAGGTCATCGACATTCTTGACCCTATGCCCCTAGAGTCCCCTTATGATAAACTTAAGGCAGCTATATTAAAGCGCACTACAACCTCAGACGAATCACGCCTCCAGCAGTTACTCTCTGGTGTAGAACTTGGAGATAGAACGCCATCTCAGTTACTCCGACACATGCGTTCCCTCGTCGGTTCTTCTGCACTGGATGATTCCGTTCTCCGCCAGTTGTGGAGTAATTGTCTTCCTGCGAATACCACGGCTATTTTAGCTGTGCTTGCCGACGATCTTCCGCTAGACAAACTGGCAGAAGCTGCCGATAAGGTTCACGAACGCTTCATTAGAACGTCGGTATCACACGTCACAGAGACTAGCTCAGGCAGCCCCTCCAGAACCACGCTACTTGATACAATCAGCGAGAGGCTTTCTAACTTAGAGCTCACCTTGTCCCATCTCAGACGCGACCGCGTTCCTTCGCGACGATCCGTTTCTCGATCCAGACGGTCTGCAGTTCTCGTACACGGAAGTCTCACCGTTATTGTTATTATCACCACCGCTTCGGAGACGCAGCGCGTAAGTGCCGTCCAGGGTGTAAACACCCCAAAGCCTCTTCAACTCCTACGTCGGGAAACCACGTGGCCAGCCAGTAATGGCGGCGGCTGTCGCTGGCTTTTCGCTCCGTGCTTAATCAGAAGTACAGCCACATCCTCGTTGCAGGAGATTTCAACACCCATGACTTGGAAAATCCAGCATCCGAGACAGAGGTGTTCAAGGCATATTTGCAAGAGCTACTCTCTAGCACCTTCTTGTATAACCACGTCACCGTTCCAACCAGGTTCAGACAGGAAACAACCCATCGATATTAGATCTAGTGCTCACTAACGAAGAGCTCATGGTCGATAGACTAAAGGTGTGCAGTCCTTTGGACCGTAGCGATCACGTGACTTTGCAGTTCGATAACATCTGCTACGCCAAATATCCAGCTGCGGAGCTCGAAACGAGGCAATCTGTTATCCGTTACCACGTTCTGTCTACCTTAGTTGAGAATACCATTTGGACCGTTCTAGCTAACTGTACCGCAGAGCTAGCCTGGTCGACATTGGCGAACGCGATCACCTCACTAGTCATAGAAGCCTCAACACCAAAAGTTTCCCAACATCCCCGCACAGCGAAATCATTCTTGCGAAGCCGGACGCGAAAATGCATGACTCTAAGGGATCGGGCATGGCGCACGTATAAAAGCAACCCCAGCGTAGAAAACTGGACGGAATACTTTTCGCATCGCAACTACTGTGTGCTTTTGGTTCGCGAAGACAAGCGAACGCATCAGCAGGAGCTAGCCAAACGATTCTGTTCGAACAAAAAGCTTCTTTACAAACATGTGAATGGACTTCGCAAGGTGCAACGGGGAATCCCACCACTTAAATACGACAAATGGCTATACACATACTGCGAAGGAGGCGGCCAACGCATTACGGGCCCAGTACTCCCCAATCTTCCAAGGTGTACAAGCCTCGACGTATATTCCGCCACTAGCTTACCCCACCGCCCGTTTTATCCAACGTCACGTTCACTGCAGAAATTGGTGCTGCAAAAGCTGCTATCCTTGCGTCCACACAGCTCTCCCGGGGCCGATAACATTCACCAGAAAACATTACAGGCAGCTGCCATCCACTTGGCCGAACCACTAGCTGCATTTTTTCAGCGCTGTTTCGATGAGAACATCGTACCTTCGAGGTGGAAACAAGGTGTAATAACGCCCATATACAAAGCAGGAAGTCGATCGGATCCTGCCAATTACCGCCCCGTAACGCTTCTGCTGTGATCGCCAAAGTCATGGAAGCGGTGATAGCAGATGCGTTAATGGGATACTTGGAAAACTACGGCATAATTGCGCCAGAACAGCATGGGTTTCGTCAACATCGTTCATGTACGACGAATCTGCTGATAGCTCGTGACAACTGGACCGAGACTGTCGATGAGGAAACAGGAGTCGATGTTGCATTCCTGACTTTTTCGAAAGCCTTCGATCGCCTGGATCATCGAATCCTGCTCATTAAACTCCAACAGTACGGTATCGGAGACCCGTTGTTAGGATGGATCGGTAACTTTCTCCTCTGAACGGCAGTTAGTAGTTAGAGTTCGATCATCCTTTTCCGATCCGATTCGAGTGGGATGCGGCGTACCGCAGGGTTCGGTACTTGGGCCTCGTTTGTTCCTGCTTTCATTAACGATCTAGTAAGAGTTATTACGTCGAAATTCTTACTCTTCGCGGATGACCTCAAGATTTGGCGGGCGATAAAACGATCGGACGACCAGGAAGTCCTACAGCGTGACTTGAATGAGGCCTGGAATTGGTCGGTGAGAAACGCCCTGCCGTTTAATGTGGACAAATGTCGCGTTGTTCAAATCCGCCATCGACAAGTCCACGTCTACAAGCTTGGGGCACGCGATCTGAAGACCACCACTCAGGAACGCGACTTGGGTGTGCTGGTACAGGAAGACCTTGGGTGTTCCAAACAGTCAGATTCCGCTTCTAAAAGGGGCAACCAGCACGTTGGACTCCTGCGAAGAGCATCGGAATTTTGGATCCATCCATCTTCTCTTTGATGCTGAATGCCTACGTGCGTCCTCACGTCGAATATGCAATCCAGGCCTGGCAACCCTGCCTAAAACGTGACCTTGCAGCGCTTGAGACCCCACAGCGTCGAGCAACGAAAATCGTCAAGGGCTTGCGCCACACTCCTTACCAGGAACGACTGGAGATACTCCAAATGTTCAGCGGACGGTACCGGCGACTTCGTGGAGACCTCATACTAGTGTACCAGATATTGAGCGATCCCAGTCACGTATGCCGCCACCTCTTGAGCTCAGCCCGAACACTAACCTTCGCGGTAACAGTTTAAAGCTGAGCCATCAGTACAGTCGTCTAGACTGTCGGAGAACCTATTTCTCCCTCCGGGTCTGCGGGCCCTGGAACGCCCTTCCAAACTCAGTTGTTTGTGCCCCAACATTAGATACGTTTAAAAAACGAATGGACGTCGCACTGAGCGCCCTGCGCTTCGTTTTATGAACGAAAACGCTTGTATATATTTAGGCTGACCAGCCTCTTTGGATTTATACCCAAAATACACGGTCGTAAATCTGTGCGAACCGGTGAGTACTCCATTTTGATTTGCTACCATCACCAACGATAACAATTTCTTAGCCAGTTTTGCGTCGTACCACTTTATCCCCCTAAAACTGTTATACTTCTACCTTTTATCTCACTGACACTCCTTACTTCAACCACTTATGTGGTTTGCCAATTTGTCAGTATTTCTATGCCAACCTGCGGGACTCGTTAAGTGTATGCTTTTTTACCCGTCATATACCATTGTTCCATTGTTCCATTGTTCCATTGTTCCAAGTTATTAGTCGCCTGTTGTATGTATTTGACTCCACAACCAAACTTCGCTTCTTGGTTGATACTGGAGCAGAAGTCAGCGTTCTCCCACCTTTGCAAAAAAAACGCCCCCTGCAACCGGCTGGTCCAATGCTTACAGCTGCTAATCAAACTAAATTCGCTACCTACGGCCAGAAATTACTTACTTTGAGTCTCGGATTACGGCGTAACTTCCCTTTCCTTTTTACCATCGCCGATGTGCAAAAGCCCATTATCGGAATCGACTTCCTCAGCAAGTTCGGTCTTGCGGTCGACCTACGTTGTGGGAAATTGCGAGACGATACTACGTCTTTAAGCACACCCTGCAAACTTGCCTCAGTCAATTCTCTCGGGCTTCGCATCCTCATCCCTGACGACTCCCAGTATTCTTCAATGCTCCGACAATTTCCGTCCCTAATTCGCGCAAGTAACGACACTTCCCATCCTAAACACGATGTACGCCATCACATCGTTACAACCGGTCCTCCTGTAACTGCTAAAGCTCGACGCTTGCATCCTGACAAACTCCAGGCAGCTAAAAAGGAATTCCAACACATGCTTGATCTCGGCATTATTCGTCCTTCAAACAGCTGCTGGGCATCACCTCTCCATCTGGTGTCTAAAAAGTCAGGCGATTGGCGACCATGCGGTGACTACCGTGCTCTTAACAACGTCACTGTTCCGGATAGGTATCCTATCCCACATATCCACGATTTCTCCCTTGGACTAGCTGGAAAGTCAATCTTTACCAAACTCGATATTGTCAGAGCTTACCATCAAATTCCAATGGCGGAGGAAGACATCGCAAAAACTGCCGTGATCACTCCATTCGGCCTTTACGAATTTCTTCGTATGCCTTTCGGCCTCCGGAACGCAGCACAGTCTTTCCAACGCTCTATGGATCAGGTCCTCCGTGGCTTTGATTTCGTCTACGTTTACATTGACGTTTTGATCGCAAATGCCACACCCGACGGGCATTTATCACACCTCCGAATGGTTTTCGAACGTTTTGAAAACCACGGGATAAACATCAACCCGGATAAATGCAAATTTGGTCAGCCAACCGTCGAATTTCTCGGTCACAAGATCGATGGTGAAGGTATTAAACCCCTTCCGGAGAAATCTCAAGCAATCCTCGACTACCCGATGCCACAATCTGTCCGAAGCCTTCGCCGATTCCTCGGTATGATCAACTACTACGGCAGATTCATTCCCAACTGTGCTGATTTACTTCACCCGCTTACCGACTTATTGAAAGGAAACTCAAAGACGTTTACGATAACCCCAGAAGTTGAAGCCGCTTTCACGGCCGTCAAGCAGAAGTTCAGTGAGGTCACCTCTCTCCATCACTTGAACACCACGGAGGACGCTACACTTGTCCTTAAGACGGATGCTTCAAGTTCTGCTGTCGGTGCAGTTTTGCAACAGTTAGTTGATAACGAATTTCAACCACTGTCTTTTTTCTCACGGAAGCTTCAACCTGCTCAGGTCAGGTACAGCACCTTTGGTCGTGAACTGCTCGCCATGTACTTGGCTGTGAAACATTTCCGTCACCTTTTAGAAGGACGTCGTTTCATTCTCTTGACAGATCACAAGCCACTGGTGTATGCCTTCCGTTCTTCCTCAGACCGTTACTCACCCCGAGAAACGCGTCATCTGGACTATCTTTCACAGTTTTGTGTTGATGTTCGTTATATCGACGGTCCTAACAACGTTGTTGCCGATGCATTGTCCCGCGCTCATGTGAATCAACTGTCATCGACACCCATCGACTTGGAGAGAATAGCGGCCGCCCAAAACGATGATCCTGAGCTCGTTCAACTTCGTTCAAACTCCTCATTGAAAGTCACCCAACTGCCCGTACTTAACTCTGACATAAGAGTTTACTGTGATCTTTCAACCGGTAAGCCTAGACCCTTTGTCCCACAATCATTTCGCCGAACCATTTTTGATCATTTTCACGGTTTTTCACACCCAAGTATCCGCTCCACCGTAAAACTCATTACCGACCGCTTCCTCTGGCCCAATATGCGTTCAGACATTAGACAGTGGGCTAAACATTGCCTTAGTTGCCAAACTAGTAAAGTGCATCGTCACACAGTCACCACCCCAGGTACATTTTCACTCCCTGACGCTCGTTTTAGACACGTGCACGTAGATATTGTTGGCCCTTTACCTCCTTCCAACGGTTTCACTCATCTTCTAACATGTGTTGACCGTTTTACCCGTTGGCCACAAGCTGTTCCCTTACGTGATACCTCTACCGAATCTGTATCCCGTGCTTTTGTTGAATCTTGGATTTCGCTGTTTGGTGTTCCATCCACCATCACTACCGACAGAGGGGCTCAGTTCAGTTCCACACTGTTCCGCGATCTGAGTCGTTTATTAGGCTGTACTCACATGAGAACAACCGCGTACCACCCCGCTGCCAATGGCCTCGTCGAGCGCTTTCATCGACAATTAAAAGCTGCCATCATGGCTACTTCGTCCGACTCACGCTGGTCTGAGCGTCTACCTGCGATCCTCCTTGGTATACGCAATACAATCAAAGAGGACATTGGGTGCTGCCCTGCAGAACTCGTGTTCGGGACGACCCTCAGACTACCTGGGGAGATGGTACTGGACTCTCGCACCACCGGCGAACTAGACCCCTTCTCGTACGCTGAACGCCTCAAACAGCATTTTCGATCCATTCGACCAACGTCTACGCGGCCTAACCTACGTAAACAGCAAGTCCACCCCGATTTGCACAAGTGTCCGTTTGTTTTCATCCGCGTCGACGCCGTCCGAAGACCTTTAACTCCGCCCTATGACGGCCCGTACCAGGTTTTGTCACGGAAACCGAAGTATTTCGTGTTGAATAAGAATGGATCAAAGGAATCCGTGAGCATCGACCGACTCAAGCCAGCTTACGTCGAAACTACAGTCGATAGTAAAGACCCCGTTTCCTCCCCTCAGCATACCCCCGCCCCTGACTCATTACCCCCTACCCAACGACACACTGACGCTAGTACATTGAGTCCTCCGTGCCCTACGACTACACGCAGCTCCAAACACACACGTTCTGGTCGTGTTGTTTCTTTTCCACATAAGCTTGCTCAATACGTTCCGTAGGCACTTGTCGAGCGTTTTCTTAGTGCACGCTCTAGGGGGGAGTACTGTAGCGATTGTAAATAATTTGCTTATTTTGCATTTTCACGTTTACCTATTTCGCTGCAGTTGTTGTACAGCTTTGTTTTAATTAACTGTATATACACACACTTGGTTACGCGCTCGCCTTCCGTGGTTCTTCCTTGGTTGCCGCTGGATTGTTGTGATTGTGCGCATCGCTGCCTGCTTGGTTCACGATCGGACTCTACGTACACGTACATTTCGGCATACCTCGGGATTTACGGCCGTCCGACGCTAAGGTGCATCAGGATACTTTATATGTGAGGTAAACCTGACTGACTGGGTATTCTCCTTTATCGGTTCCTCCATACTTCATTTTGGTGGTCGGTAGCCATCTGGACCGGTGACATAATGATAGGTGCCACAAGCTGATCATCGGTGTTAGCGATCAAATCTGCTTTGTTGGAGACCGGAAGCGTCGTCATAAGCAGATCAATCTTATAGCGAAGATCAGAGAGCATCGAGAACGAACGTTCTACATTTCGCAGCCGGTATCAAGAGATTCATCTCTCGTACGAAAGGCTGAGCGGCCTTGCCGGCGGCTGCAGCAATTGGCACAACTGAACAGCAACATTTCGCTAGAGGCCAGCGCTGCGTACTGCTCGGTATTTAGCTCCGTACAAAGCTGATGGTACCATCGGTTGCAGACATCGCATTGCATACCTCCTGACTCGTCAGTTACTGGTACATTGCAGCTTGGTCCGCCACATAGTGCGATAACCTCAGAATCCGAGCCATCAGGAACAACAGCCTCGGTGCATTGCGAGACCGACATAGTGGAAAACAGAGTGATTATAACACGTATGCAATAGATAAATGACCACAGTAAAAAGGCAAAAAACTGGGTGCAAAACGGGGTTAAAACTGGGAAAAACTGGAAAAATTACCAGTAAGCGCCAAAGACGCTCCCACTCAGCACCAGTGCCCGATGGGCGCCCGTTGGAAGTCCGATGGGCGCCCGATGGGTGACCGATCGAGCGCCCGATGGGCGCCCGAGTGGCACAAAATTGTGTCACTCATCGGGCGCTCGCCGAGAAAAATGTTGCGGTTCCTCCTTCAAATGCCCTGTTTTTCCCAGATTTTGCACTGTAGGAATAATCTAGCCACCTTACGTTTTCTGCCAACACCTTTGATAGCACGTTATTACATTTCCACACATCTGGGGACCCTACCAGCACGAAAATCCGCCGGCAGGCCGCTCAGCTTCCAAAATATGTGCGAACGGGACGTTTCGGACTGGCGGAGAAATCTTTAGCAGCACTCCTCCTTTACACTCCTTAGTGTATTCCTCAACGCATGGCATTAGATTACCTATGATATTGGCCTCAACATAGCCATTAACACAACTGGTGCACGCGATTCAGTCAACATCGTCATGAAGAGTGTGAAAAGTGCTTACAATCTTAATAATGCGCACTGGAACGTAGCGAAAAGAAGAAAATGGAGAAACGACCACGACGTAATGCACAACCACGAGATCCAACCAGTGATACCGCTTAATCCTTACGCGACCCTGCCAAGATTCGAACTCCGGACACCTACGCAACGAGACTAGCGCCCTATACGACTACACTACGGAACTACGTTGGTGCGTCCTCACTGCTCATATTCCTACCAGCAGGACAGTCCGCTTTTGTCACATATTCACGCAAACCTTCTGTTACATGTAGAAACTAACGTCGGAATCTACGATCACTTTTGACTTGGCAGGGCCTCCGTTGAATCAATGGCTGTTTTTCGCTGTATAGCAGCTGTGCCTTTCGTGAAGGGGGCATTACGTGCTCAACGATAACATTGCGTGGGAAGAGTCTGCTGGTGGTGAGACGTTTCAGCTACTGGGAGTGCAATCCTGTACGCTTATCGCACTTTTATGGGCGATATTTATAGGTGTCGCATAACCGAAATGTGCAGCGCACACGCACCAGTAATGCGTAATGTGGGTGTGAATACTGCATTCACGAAGTGAACATCTCTACTATCTTTTAATGAGTAGTTTGTTTATTATAAGAAGTTAATCGAAGGACCATCGATGTTTTCAGTCGCCGTTGGACAGTTGATACGGCTATAAGCGGATTTCATTTGCCATAATTTACGAACGCCCGATGGGTGTCCTATATCGGGCGCCCGAGTGACCGTTGGTGCTGACAGGGAAGCGCCAAAGACGCCTTGACCAGAACCGCTTTAATCGATCCAAGATATCTTGGATCAGAGGAAATTTGACAATAGTCAAATTTCGTTTCAAGTGTTTATTCAAACACTGTTTTCCACGTCAATTCAACTAAAAATCTCGATCAGTATGGCACGCCAAAAAGTCAAGTTACCGCGTAGCACTCACAAAAGCTGTTTTCCAACAGCAATCTCAAATGGAGGCACAAATGAAAATGATGAAAAATCTGACACAATACTTGAGTTTGCAGAGCACAGGACCACCGACGCGGGACATGTAGTCGAGTTCTGTTGATCTGCTCACGAATGCAATCACTGAGTTCAATTATGGCGCGGATGTTGGAAGCACATTTTAATCGTGGTTCAAGCGCTGTGAAGACATGTTCCGAACAGACTTCATTCCTCAGAATGACTCATGGAAGGTGCGATTACTACTCCGCAAGCTCGGCATGAGTGAACCTTCAAAGTTCATTGTCCACATTCTACCCAACCAGCCGAAGGATCATACTTTTGACGAAGCATTGTGGCAGCTGAAGGACATTTTTGGTGATTCGGTATCCCTGTTTAGTATTCGCTATCAATGCCTGAACCTTGTTAAACAGGAATCGGACGGAGGTGAGGCCTTATCAAACATGATTAACTCTGTGCGCCTTTCAAACTACACTCTTTAACCTACAATCAGTTTAAGTGCCTCATTTCGTCAGCGCTCTACAATCCTACAGCAATTCTTGGATCCCCACGCGGCTTTTAGCTTAGCTGGATCAGGATCCTGATCTGACCGAGAAGGCCCTGGTTAGCGTATACGACCGCTGCTCACGTCTAAACACGACACTGCCATGGTCGAACGCAATGTCTCGCACCACCTGATACCGTGCAATTCGTGAAAAAGGCCAGGACTGTCAACTGATGCAAACCCTTCAAGAGGTCTATGACTAACCCGCCCACCGCATGCTGGTCAAGCGGCAACTGGCATTTGGTGCGCTTTTGTCCGTTCAAACGTCATGTTTATCAGACGTGCCAGAAGCGTGGGCATATATAGGAATTCTGCCGTCAGGTCCGGTCTAAGAAAGTGACGAAGTCTTCTCGGAAGGGAATTCTAGGAAGGATGTTGCGGAGTCTCTCCATAGTTTCTGCATTCCAATGTGAGTGTAAACCGAGCCGACGATTTGACAGCGTGCTGATCAACGGGATCCCAAGGAAACTGCGTCTTGACACGGCCACAGACATCACGGTTATTTCCAACAGCGCATGGAACTACATAAAGAGACCGAAGGTAATCGAGTCTAAGGAAGTTGCACATAATGCATCCGGCGGTGTGTTAAACTTAGTGGGCGAACTTTATTGCCAGGATGCCTTTAAAGGTGTGGAAAAGGCGGTAACATGCTACATTTCAGACCAGCCGAATTTGAGTCTGCTTTGTTTCGACTGGATTGAAAGTTGCAAATCCTTGATGTTTCCTTGAATCAGATCTGCAACCGAGTTCAAGCAAGTCCAGACCCATCATCAAAGTCCGTCGAAGACATGACGCGTACCCTGAAGCGAAAATTTGCTGCTGTTTTCAGGATGGCATGGGCCACATTACGAAATTCTAGGCAAGGCTGAGCTTGCGACCAGGTTGTAAACCAGTGTTCAAGGCTAAATCCCCGGAACCATATGCAGCCACGTCAACCTTTGAGCAAGACGTCGATCGTCTGGAACTTGCCGGAGTCATCACAGCCGTCAACTATTCTTCACCGGCCCCACCTCTTGTCGCAGTGAAGAAAGCAACTGGCGAGGTACGCGACTACGCTGACTTTGCAACTGGCCTCAACATCGCGCTGGATAACCACCAGTACCCACTGCCAGTACCGGAGGATATCTGCAAAGTTGAATGGTGGTAAGTAAATAAATAAATAAATAGGTATATCTCTAGACCTGCTAGAGGCTGCACCATAAAGGGTTCAGATCAATGCTTACATAAATCCGATGCTGTTGCATGGAAGTAGGTAAAATATAAGTATATGTCCATCGTCAGCAATTACAATTGCGTTGGCATTGTTTGATATACAGCTACTGGGTCGCAGGCGCCCACCTTGACATGTTTCTGGTTCCTGCGGGCGATATTGAACTCTTTGTTCTTTTGTGAAAACTTCGCGGAGGTGTAGTTGTGCCTTTTCTCCGTGGAACAGAATCCAATTCGCCGAAAGTGCACTTTAAATCGATCGCACATTAATTGGCCACTCAGTTGCCCCAATTGTGCGCACATGGAAGAAATGAGTGATTATAAGTCATACGAAAAGTTGAAAACAATTCCGATAAATGCGGACAAAAATAGAAACAATTTGTTAAGAGGGAAAATAAAGCTGCGTGCTTCAGTAGAAAAATACCAATTAACAAAAAATTACAGCCCTACTTTTCTTACGCTGATATCGCACAGGTCAGGTCAGGTCAGGACAAAATCCGTGGACGATACAGGCTTCCGCCTAACGAGCGTCCAGCTTCTTGTACCGGTAAGCGAACCAGAGCCCCCGGCACTTCGACTTTTGATCGCCTCTCCTTGCCTCTGCAAAAAGAAATGAAGCAAAAGCGAGAGCAATCTTTGCTTTTACAAATTTCAACCTGAGTTATTCTCAGATAAAAGAAAAAGCCTTTCTACAGTCAGAATACCACTTAAAGCGGCACAAAATTACACAGGTCTGGACCAGCTTTGGCGTATGAATACGTTGAACGTAAAAGCAACACAATACGTGCAGTAGTTTGCGAGTTATTCGCAATTAAATGATGGTCTACGAATAAGGCCATTTTTATTTTTCGCTAAAATGGCTTTCTGCTTTGCAAGCAGATAGCAGAAAAAAGAAAAGATCAGATAAAATGTTGGGAAGCGGCGTATGTTCTAGATAGGCATAGCTATCCAGTAATGCTCTAATTAGCCCGTTATACCCTGCGACAACTACGGACTGCGCAGGTGGCCGAAAAGTAAACTTTGCAGGCATACATGACAAATATATGCAGATAAGGAATGATCTTGCGCGAAAACGCCAGAAATCCAGCAAGGAATATTATACCTACAAGGGAATTCAGGGGAGCTTGTAATTAACTCACGGTTAGAAGGCCACATCATA